AAAAAAAAAAAAAAGTGCTGTGGATGTGTCTCAATGATTAAGTGCCCTTGGATCAATCTCTGGTACCAAAAAGAAAAAAGGAAAAATAAGAAGAATTTATAGGGCCCTCATCTATGAAAAATTATAAAGAATAATTTCCCTCGAACTTTAGATTTACAAAATTCTGAAGTCTGAACTCACAAACACTTCCTATTAATAAAATAATGAATTAAATAACATTTGTTCTATATATTCTCCTCCAAATTCTCCCCTGGCTCATACTTTTTCTTTAATCTATCACCATAGACAATGGAAAGAAGTTTTGTTTATTTAAGAATTTCAATAGAAAATCATTGTGTTTTAAATAGGAGAATTAAATTATCTTATTAAAATTTATAAAATATCACTCTGCTGCTATAGAGAGAGAATAGATTCTCTGGAAGATCAGACAGGAAAATACAGAGAAAAAGATGACAGTGGCTTTGACAAGGCTGACAGTGATGGAGCTAATAAGTGGAGAAATTCAGGAAGTATTTTGAGAATGAAGCAGAGAGTATTTAATGCTGTATTGAACAAAAGGCTAAGGAGGGTGGGACCATGAAGAACTCCTAAGTTTGAGTCTTAAGCAACTGTGTAGTGATGTCAAAGACAGAAAAGCCAAAGTTTATTGGTAAACACATTAAGTTTGAGATAAATCAGAAGTCAAGAATAGAGATAATACTTGAAGCAGTAAGACTACTCTAGAAGAATCTTAAGAGAATGGGAATCAGAGTGAAGGCTGAAATTATGCTAATACTTAAAATTCAGCCATAAATGCAGCAGCTAGCAAAAAGACCAAAAAGGAAAGGCTAATAAAGTGGGAGGAAAATTAGGAGATTAGAGTATTAGAAAACAAGAAAGATTTTCTGGAAGAAACATGCATCTAACCTAGAGTTTAAACAAGATGAATATAGAAAATTGAACACTGTATTTGTAAAGTTAGTATGGAAAGATAAGGACAAGAACCTGAATGAGTGTTTTTAAAAGAAAGAAAAAAACTCGGGTTAAGAGCGTGGCTCAATGCCATAGTGCTTGTTCAGCAACTGTGAAGCCTTGGTTTAAAACCTCAGCCTTGGTTTAAAAAGTTGCCCAAGAAAGAACTGGCAACATAGTACAATAAGAATAGAGAGATTCACCTTCACTTTCACCACCAAACAATTTCTATGCCAAATTTTAAAATACCAATAAAAACATTTGGTAATTGTCAGATATGGTGACATATGCCTATTGTCCCAGAACTTCGGAGAACAAGGAAGGAAGATAGCTTGAATCCAGAAGTTCAAGACCAGCCTGGGCAGCTTAGCAAGACCTCCATCTCAAAAAACCAAAAATTTTGGTAATGTAGTAGATGAGCAGAGTAAGAGCACTGGAGCTAGGGCCATGTGGAATGAAAGGGATTTTAAAAGACTCTTAAATTATAGACTCAAGTCCCTGGACACTAAACTCAAAAGAAGGGGAATCAATGCCAAAAATTAAGAAGGAACATTAACTGTGAATGTGCCTGAGCAGTCAGATGGCATAAAGTGGAAGTTAAGAGGATAAGCTCTACCTGAGTTCTAATCTTAATGCTACTACTCAGCTGTGTGATATTAGGGGTTTTTATAAAACCTCCCTGCCTTGTTTCTCATCTAAAAACTTGATAGAGTTGATATGAGAATTCATGAAGTTATATTTAAAATTATAGAATACTATTGGTACATTATAAGCACTCAATAAATGTGAGTAACATGATAGAGATCATCACAATCATCATGTAGTACAACTAAGTCTAGAGTTGTAATTGAGATGTCCACATAAAGTCAGGACCCTGGGAAGTCTTCCCATCTGAAAATTAGGACTAAAACAATTTGGTCACCTTTTTAAGAACTTAAGAAAAAAGTCTGATCTTTGCCTAAGGTCTAAAAGAGAGAAAATTTTTCTAATGATAAACTAAATCCCAAGACTACCATCTGAGAATATCACATTTCAAATCACACAATACACACGTGTCCTGGCTTTATGTAGACATCTCAATTACAACTCTAGACTTAGTTTTACTACATGATGATGATAATGATGATGTTCTTTATTATGTTACTTGTATTTATTAAGTATGTATAATATTCCAGACTATTCTAAAATTTTAAATATAACTTCATGAATTCTCATATCAATTCTATTATTTATTATTTATTAAAAAATCAATTTCAACTCTACTATTAAGTTTTTAGATGAGAAAACGAATTCCAAACATGGAACTAGCATAAAAGTGGCACACTTAGTTATCCTTATGAAGAAAAAATAATATTGGATCCTAATTTCACCTGATTTATAAAAATCAATTCCAGATAAATCAAAAGATTTATTTATTAAAAGAAAAACTGTTAAACTTTTAGAAGACAATATTGGGATATAGCTTCAAATTTGAAATAAGTTTCTACTTCCTATTTAAAGGTTATCACTACATATGAAAGATATAGGAGGTGAAGTTGGACTTGAAGTTAGAATGGGGATTTTAAACAGCTACTTCAGTGGCTCAAGAGGCTGACACAGGAGGATCACAAATTCAAAGCCAGCCTCAGTGCAAGGCCTTTAGCAGCTTAGTAAGGCCATAAGCAACTTAGTGAGACCCTGTCTCAAAATAAAAAATAAAAAGAGCTTATAATGTTGCTCAGTAGTTAGGCACCTCTAGATTTAATTCCTAGTACCAATTTAAAATTTAAAAAAAAAAAAAAGCTATTTCAAGGAGTAGGAGAATGAGCTAAGTATTAAAAAAAAAAAAATTCACAAAATTCCAGGGTAGCGTTCAGGGCCAGCAGCCATTGCTTTTATAATGGTACCCTATATAATCTGTTAACTTGTGTGATTTTCTCCAGGAATGCTGTCAGCCACAAGGAGACTGTAGATGATTGGGTTCACTCAGTACTGGGAGCTTTGTTACCTAAGTGCAACAAAAGTACAGGGAAGCAGAGAATTCAGAGTATCATGTAAATACAGATTAGAGAATTTAAACTGGATAAGGAAGAAAAGTAAAAACAGCAGGAGACTGATAAGGAGAAAGTAGAGAGGTAAATGGATGGAAGGTCCCAATAAGGACCCAATGAAGAATACATGCCCCAAGCAATCTGATGAGAAACAGAAAAGAAGTAAGCATAAATACACAATATTAAGAATTAGAAAGAAAATATAACTACAGATATAAATAAAAATATACTATACAGAGCTGGAGTTGTGGCTCAGTGGTAGAGTGCTTGCCTACCACATGAGAAGCACTGGATTCGATCCTCAGCACCACATAAAATAAATAAATGAAGGTATTGTGTCCAGCTACAACTAAATAATTATACATATATATATATATATATATATAAAACACTATACAACTCTATGCTAATAAAATTTTAATCTGTGAAATTGAAATTCCTAGGAAAAATGAACTGACAGTACAAATAATCTCTTTGTCTTTATTGTCTTCTATAAGAGACAAATCTACTTGAAGGTAAAAATAACTGTTAATTAAAATCCACCATTACCCAATATATGAGGACAAGATAACATGCTTAAAAGCCACAACTTTTAAGTACTAATTTCACTCCATGCAAAATATACATATGCAACTTTACCCTTTTTTCTGGTGAGCTTTGTAGTAGCAAAGACTATCTTTCATATTAGCACACTTACTTTTAAACACAAAGCTTGCAAGGAGAGAAATGAATTACAGTAGAT